TCTATCTACCTTTCTTTCTCCCCCCCCCCCTCTTCTTCTTCTTTTTCTTCTCTTCTATGTCTTCTTGTCGTCGTCGTTGTCGTCTTCCCCCCTCCTCCTCGCCTCCCAAACCTCCTCTTTCTTCTCCTCTCCACTTTATTTATCATCATGGAAAACATTACAAATGCCATCACCATCTCTAACATCAACACAGACATCGATAACAACACAGCAACAGATGGACAACAGTTGCTATGACGATTGTGTACCTAAGACGCTCCCCTGATCCTCCTTTTTGTACCTCCGGTAGAGGAAACAGATGAGGACAGCAACTGAAATTACGACCACGGCGCCAATAGTACCGATGATGACGTAGATGGTTGGGAACACATCTGTGGTGGGTAAAGGATAGTTGAAAAGTTATCAATATATATATTTTTTTAAATCTTGAGGAAATTGATATATACATACACGTAGATTCTGGTGTCAAGAAATGATGAGCATATTTATAGGTGGTTGAAAAAAAAGAATCAACATATGATTTTGAAAAAGACAATCATTTAGTTTTTCAGTTTTAGTAAGTGTTTTACGGCAGTCAATTAGGTCATATAAGTGATGAAGATTAGAGTTTGTTTAATAAGAGAATGACAAACACAAAAAAGAAAGAGGGGAGATAAGGATGATAAATTAATGTTTCATAAGAAAGGAGGAGAAAACCACACCAGAGCCCCCACCAACCACCCACAGACAAATATTTCTGTAGGAATTTAATAAACACTTTAGTATAGAGAAAATATCACTTTATCTGTGGGGAGGATAATAATAGTAAAAAGATGGTCAACAGATGTGTGGGGACAAAAAACTTTTTTTTTTCTCAAAAAAAGACTTGATTCTTTGAGGCTATTGAGAGACATTAGTGTACAGAAAATATCAGTACCTCTGAGGTGAGGGGATATAAGAATTAAAATAAACTTTACTGACACATCTATGAGCAGAACAATTTTAATTGTTAGTGGGGAGGTAGGGGGTGGAAAGGAGGGCAGAGGATCTTTTAAATGGATTAAGTGGCTGTTTGTACAAGTAGTTGTCTTGGGCAGGTGGCGCTTAGAGTAGGTTTGACTGTATACCCCCATAACCAATCACTCACGTTTCTCCTTGAGCTCAATAGAGTCAAAACCAAAGCCGTAGGCGTTGGTGACCGTGCAGTTGTAGGTACCAAAGTCTCCATCCTGCACGCTAGTGATGTGTAAGATACTCTTCACCCCATATGGCAGCTGATGATCCTTCTGGGAGAAGCGACCAGACATGGCGTAGTCGATGGCTTGACCGTGCCGTGACCAGACGATCTCAGAAGGTTTGGGGATTGATTTGGTCATGCATTCAATGAACCCTGCCTCTCCACTTGTGGCCAGCTGTTCCTTCTTACTTCCCATTTTGGGTTTTCCTATTGAGGTGGAGGTAGACAAGTGTGAAAGTGAGCATAAAAGTACAACAAAGACTCAAGCCACCCAATAATCTGTTAAACATTTAGTGACTTCTGAGACATTACAAAAATCTTCACTTGCTATTTGATCAAGGAAAATCTTTTTTGTCCAAGATTAAAGAATTTCTCTAGTTATTAAAAATGACCTTAAAATTTAAGGGCTTTAAATGTCATTAGATAATTACCTGGTTTTCATTCCAGAGAAGCTTCCAGTTGGAGTTTGTTTTTGATTTGTTCAACTACTTATCTCATCAACCAATTTTTTACCATCTTTCATATTTCATCAACCAACAGTTTATAATCTCAATGAATAGCTCGTCCATGAATATTTTATCACCTTTCATATGTCCCCTTTCACCTGAACTTTACAGTATGCCTTTTCGCTTTGCACAGCTGAGGCTGCCAATCTCATGAATAACCTCAATTGTGTTGATTGGGACGAATATTAACAATCAAAGACTCTCACCATTTCTCAACAGCAAAGCCTCCTGGCTTGTGTCTGGAAACCCAATAACTGTAGCCGTGCAGACATACCAGCCAAAACTCTGGTCGTTTACACGGTCAATATGGTACACTTTGTTGGTGGATAGTGTCCGGTGGGCGTACGTTGAGCGATCTTTACGACGCCAAATCACATTTGGGCTCGGGTTACCGTCCGTCTCACATTTCAGCTCAGCTGAGAGTCCAACGTCAGCTCCCACTACAGCGGTGATCTCAAGGATGCGGGCACCATCTAAGGAGGGAGGGAGGTTTTACTATTATGGAGGAGGAAGCCATAAAAGGAGGGCCAGAAGGAAAAGGAAATGGAGCAAAAGAAGAGGAGGAGAACAGCAACAGCAACTGAAAAAAGACCCACAAAAGATGAAGAAAAAAAGAGAAATGGAAGGAAAAAAAAAAGTGGTAATTCTCATTTCAAGTTGAGAAGGAGAGTAAGAGCAAGATGAGGAAGATGACCTAGAGCAGTAAGATAAGAGACAAATAAGAAAAAAGATGAAAATACAATGAAGCGAAACAAATATTTTCTGCTGGGAGGAGGAGGAGGAGGCAACAAACAATTAACAAGACAACAATGAAAATATCATCATCTGTATTAATATTGATGATGACAACAACAACAACAACAACAACAACAACAACAACAGTAACAAAAAAAATAATTAATAAATACAAATAAAAATCCACACTACAAGAATACCTCCTCTCCAAAAACCACCCAAAAAATTACTTTTTAAAAAGTAAAATTACAAAAAAGGAGACAGGTGTAGATCTAATCCAAAACTAGTGAGAGTCCACTTACATTCCACATTGAGGACCTCATCTTTGCGAGTACTCCCCACATTATTTGTTCCCTCACAGGTGATCTTGTCGTTGTTGTAGTCTGGGGTGATGGCGTGTACATGGTACGTGTTCGAGTTGGCGTTTGGAATCAGGACATCATTCCGGAACCACCTGAGAAATCAAATACGCTTAAGATTTGAACCTGAAACTCTCTGAGTGCCTCTTTGAAACAAGAAGAATTTAAGTGATTCAGAAAGGATTAGTTTAGTTTTGGTAAGAGTTTTACGGCACTTGCAACATAATAAGGTCATACAAGTGCCGAAAATTAAGGAGTTACAAGAGAGTAACAAACACAAAAAAGTGACTACAGATAAGGACGATAGACGTTTGATAGGAAAGAAGGAGCAACCCACACCACAGCACCCACCAACCACCCATTCAGGAAGAATGAAAAGGAAAATGATAATAGAACAACTTATATAAATGATATTCCTGTAAGTCTGTGCATAAACCACGAGGTGTATGATCATTTAGGTATTTGAAAATTTACAAACAAGTAGGCCTACATATACAGTGCAGCAATGACAAAGAGGAACATGATGACTATGATGAAGATTGTGAGTACCAGTAAAGGGAATCCACCAACATGATAATGGTCATTCATTCAATGCAAGGATGAAGAAGATAGATATAAACGAACAAAAACAACAAAGGGAAAGAACATATGTGGGACCTATTGGAGGTGCTGTCTGCCTACCAGCAACGCGGGGATGAAATACAAGGGGAGATGGCAGTTATGATAAGACAGTAACAATAATTATAATCATGATTGTTTATGAGTTGGTCTATGACAGTTTGAATAATTAAGAACAACAAAATTTTCTCAGAAAGGGTTGAAGCTCAAAAACACGAGGTGAAATCCTAATCATTAAAAATATCAGTCGTCCCCATCTCTCAACAAAAAAGTTCCAGACAGATGCCTAGAAGATTCCAGGTCTTACCTCCATCTGACATTGGATGGGTTGGCGCGCCCCACACATTGGAAGCGGACAAAGTCGTGCTCCCGGATGTTTCGCGTTGTCACATTGTAGGTCATCTCAAGGTCAGGGGCATCTGGACAACATACAGACCACCATTCTGTTAGTTTTAGTAGGAGTTTTACAGCACTTGCAACACCGTAAGGTCATATAAGTGCCAAAGATTAGAGGTGTTACAAGAGAGTAACACAGACAAAAGAAAGGAGGAGAGATGTCTAATAGGAAAGAAGGAGCAAATCACACCAGAAACAGCACCCGCCAACCACCAGCAGACCACCATTTAATGGTTCAAAGAAATACCACGTACCTTGAGACAAACTGATATACATCTTACAGGTTAATCTATTTTGAAGATGTGCCAGTACCTGTAAGTCAGTAATTTGAACTGCCTAATGTCCTGTGCATGCACATTAATGTACTGCAGGCAATAACATATGAACTTTTGGCAGCTGCAACTTAGCAGATTTTACTTAGTAAAGAGAAGCACATTGACAATATCAGTTATAACTGTTATTCAGTGTAGAGAAAGGGTAAGACAGAAAGACAGAAACAGCAAGTAGGAAAATAAAAAAGTACTACCAGCCAGTGGCTCCCTCCAGTCACCTATTCAGCCAACTTTAGATCAGAAAATCTACTTAAAAGAAATAAAGAAACAAAGACACAAACATATAAGAATAAGCACAAAAACAAACAAATCCACTTATTTCTCACATTGTACGTCTAGAGTAGCAAACGTGCGGAAGGGTCGAGCCATCAGCTCGGTTGAGGCCTGACACTCTATCCTCTTGGCCGCGTCTGCCTGCGTGGCGTTGAAGGTGAGCACTCCCACGGCATCGTAGAAGTCCCCACGAGGCAGCGAGTAGGTGGTGGCACGGGACAGTCGCTGGCCATCCAGGTACCAGGTGATCTCTGCTACTGGTTTGCCTGAGAGGATCACAAAAAGGTGAAAGGTCAGGCCTACACAAAAATTACCATTTTTCTTTTGCCATGGTAGGGTACTTTTTATTTATGTCAATACGAACAAAACAATAACTTTTTCAGTAGAGCTTCACAGAATAACATTCACTAAGACAATAGACATTTGACGCTTGTCGAAGACACAAAAGACACGTTGCTAAGTATCAGGTTAAAAATACTTTCGATTACCTCAGTTTCACAGTTTGAAGTTACTTGCATGCATTAATTTCTGAAACTAAAAAGGGCAAGACAACTGGGTAAAACTATAAGCTACAGGTAAAAATTGTCCTTCCCAAATGACGTCACAGCAACCCCTATGTGGTCCCACAGATCGCGGAGACCACAGATGTGCACCTCGGGTCAAGTAAGTTCCAAATGGGGGGCTCAAGTAGACCTTTACAAACAACTGTACCTTTATCAGCCCGACATGTGATGTTGGTGGGTGTGTGCAGCACCACTGGCACTATAGGGGCATTGATGATGGTGGGTCGCTCAGGAGGAACTGGGGAAAATTAAAAGAAGAAAAGGATAATGGAGATGCAAGGATGGCTGTTAGAGAAGAACTGTGAAAAATAAAAGAAGAGGATGTTGGGTATGAAAGGAGGGTTGCTCAAGAGGAACTGGGAAAAATAAAAGAAAGAGAGGATGAGGAGGACGTAAGGAGTGTTGTTCAAGAAGAACTGAGAAAAATAGAAGAGGATGAGGGGGATGCATACAGTTTACAATTCTAGTTGTTTCGGAGATTAAGTACATTTGATATAAGATAACATGTGGACGTAAGCATTTAGAAGACTTGTTCCCCTTGCCCATTGCTATTTAAATGATGCCTTCTAATTAGTACATGTGTTACAACATTGTGAATGTAATGTGTTAGAAGTTAGCTGTAGTCAACACAAAGTTATGACAAGTTTTGTTTTATGATGGTGGACTGAACATTAATATTATTTTTTAATAATTATGTTTCACTTTCTCCAAGAAGACAGTCCCAAATTCTTTATAATTGTGAAGAGTAGGTTCCGGCCTGTGCAACTCTCAACAGTCAATAATTGATGGACGTTACTGCTTTTATTCGTTGGCTACTACAGCTGCTGCTATATGACAGCCTATTTTTCCTGCTGCCTTTTCTGAAGACTCACCGACAACAGTGACGAAGGACTTCCTACTTCTCATGCCCACTGGAAAGTCGTCAGACGCCATGACAGTACACTGGTACACGTCCTCGTCCTCCACACGCACGTCACGGATCTGTAGGTTGTACTCACCTGTGAGGGTGGGAGAGGGAGGGGTGTTTTATTTAGTTTTAGTAAGAATTTTACAGCACTTGCAACAAAAGTCAAATCAGAGCCAAAGATTAGAAGCGTTACAAGTGAGCAACAAACACATTGGCTTTTGACCTCCATCATTACAATTTTGTCAACTCAAATGTAAGAATGAAAGACACTATAATTTATAAGAAGAAGCTTTTCACTCGCTGAAATAAAAAGAATTATAAAAAAAAATAGAACACAATTAAACACAAAATAAATCAATCAGTCACTCAATCAATCAGTAACACACACACACACACACACACACACAC